AGCTAACTTAAAGCATTGATCTTTTCCTTCAATCTACATCTAGACATCCTACGATATTCTCTATTTGATTACACCATGGTGACAAGTTCACACAGTTTCACATAATAAGGTTTTGGGTTGTTTGCTTTGAATTCTGATTTGGGTACTTTGTTTGTAAGCATAAGCCAATAGGCGAATATATAAAGCATGGGAAAACCAATTTACATACTTATTTAATGTCCTACAACCAATGTAAGGTTAGAATTGTTGAAATTAAAGAACCTCCAACTTGCTCCGGTTGTTTTGAATTGGCATGAATCCCCAATTGACTTGGATAAAGTCTCATTTAAGGAGGAAAGGAATATTTGCAATGAGAAGCTATTTTAATGTATTTGAAACCGTTGAAAAAGGACAAAAATACCCCCACCATGCAAGGCACGTGGGGTGTCTAACAGAAAAGATCGATGGAATGTTAGCACAAGACTAGACTAGGCAGGTTACAAAATTAAAATGTAAAGATGGTCCGAATTTAAAAAGATAAGTTAGAAACCAAAAGTGCAATTCATCCTAAACCACAGGGACTGTTCGAGTAATTTTCCCTTAACAAGAAAAATGCGGAGTCACTCGCTCCTTTTGACTGACCCTTCTAACAGGGCATTTTGCTTTATCCTCCTTTCTTCTCAAAAACACCATTGAAAGCAGAATAAGGAGATGGAGAAGGGAATTTGAGAGATAAATATGGCGACTCGGGAAGAATTCAAGGTAGTGGTAGTGCCGTCGGATCGTCACGGCATAGACCCACGACCTCTTACATCATCCGAAGCCACCACCGAAGAGAACTGGCACGACTGCCCTTCCGATCTTGCCTATAACGACGACGAGTTCCCAGCTCTTGATGCTTTGCAATTCTTTCGCCTTGAATCTAGTTCTGATAAATCCGGCAATCGCATATTTCGAATCGTTGGCAAATACTTCCCAGGTATTATCATACTCTGTTAACTTTTGTGCTAATTGTAAGAGATAACGATTGAATAATTTAATTTCTATCAGGATTCACGTCTCTTGATATGCGGTATCAGTTGGTGTTTTGGGATTGGGGATTATGATTATGATTTTATCGCATTCAGCTTCCACAATAGGTCTTTAAAAGTTACAATCTACCTTTTAGTGATTTGAATGAACCCTATTATGTCCTGGAATTGTTCAACAAAGTAGAGTTCGACATACAAATTTGTATTTGTGCCCATATTCGACATAGAAATTTGTACGAAGTTATGAATACTTACTTCCTTTTTACCTTTCTTGCTCATGTGAATCTTAAAAGTTAAATCCCATGGTTATCAAAAAGCTTTGGTATGTTTAGGGTAACACCAAATCCTGTAGAGTTTGAAAAAAAAAGTTTTTCTGCTTTCTTGAATGTGTCTCTTTCTCTTACACTGAATCTGAATGTCATATTCTTTTTAACTTCATCATGAATGCGCCTCTTGCTACAAAGGTGAAATATCAGTCATAAATTGGTTAAAAAAAGTGAAGCATTGTTTCATAAATAAGCATTTAACAAGTACCATGTGAATGGTGTCATGTTGTACCAAATAATTACTATTGTGTGTTTGTTAACTTATAAATTCCAGCCCCAGTGATCCATGGTGAATGGCTAAAGAAGTACATAATATACAAAATGTCGACAGAATTGCCACAAGGCCCTTTTTGCATTGTCTACATGCATTCCACCGTTAGAAATGAATACAACAACCCCGGAATCACCATCTTGAGATGGATCTACGAAGAGCTTCCTTCAGACTTCAAGGACCGCCTTCAAGTTCTCTATTTCGTTCATCCCGGAATCCGCTCCAGGCTCCTTATGGCCACCCTCGGCCGCTTCCTGTTAAGTGGAGGGTAAGTGTCACTTTGTCTCTGTCACTGTCACTGTCATTGTCACTGTCACTGTCACTGTCATTGACACTGATAAAGTTTATTGTTCCCTTTTGGCAGGTTATATTGGAAGGTGAAGTATGTGAGTAGGTTGCAGTATCTGTGGGAGGATATGAAGAGAGGATCGATTGAGATTCCGGACTTTGTGGCTGAACATGATGAAGTTCTTGAAAATAGACCGTTGACTGATTACGGGATTGAACCAGACCCGCTTCATTTCACGGGACTTCCTTCCAATAGTTTCTCGTATGGGAGGTATGAAGATAGGTGGACATCTCGTGAGCCCATGTCTTAAATCTTGTCTCAATACTGAAAAATTGATAGATGTGTCATGTCTTGTGTGTACAACAAGTATGTATGTTAAAGATGTTAGTTTTGTCTGAATTGCTACTGTGGGTAAAGAATAAATTGTGTAATGTTGCTTATTTTGGGAAAGTTGGTTGCTATTTCATGCAATTAGTCCATGTATATGTGGTCTCAAATTGATATATATGACAAAGCTCTCAAAATTCCGTCTCAGGGACTATTATACTGTGAAACTGAATCTTAATTAAGACTTACATTTCTTTCCCAAATGTTTTTCATAAATGAGGTTTCCAATTTTGAGAATTATGGACTAACATAAAACCGATATTACTTGGGTGACAAAATTGTCAATCGTAACGAGAAAAAAAAATGGAATATTCAAACTATGCCTTTTTTCTCAAGATTCCTTGAAACAAAATTTTTCCAGGTTTACACATTAAGTTGACCTTTCAATGAACCTTTTTGTGCATTTATGAATCGACTTAACCGATAGACCTGTAAACCCGGTCATAAGGACTAATAAAGAAAATATCATTTTCCTTAAAAAACCAATTTAAGCTAAAAAAGTGAAGAAAAAAAAATATTCAATGACTTATCTACCTAGTCGAAAGGTTTATTCAGTTTGTTTCTTATAATCAAAACATACATGCGTGTGAAATAAAGTCGAAATAAAATCATGTGAATAAAGAATGGTCATTATGATTGCAAGCGTATACAGTTCTAAGTTCTTTTGGTCAAACCATAATACGTTTAAAATATTGCTAGTATTCAACGATTGATATTTATACGATGAAAGTCTGACAGTCGATGTACAGAATTCCACATAGTAGGTGAATGTTCAAACCCCCAACACACCTAAAATATTGCTTTGTTTGGCAATTTTCATCTTATAGGGTCTTACGTTGGGTTTACACTTTACATTTTTTTTTATACACAATTTAGTAAAGGCCTCTTTTTTCTTTGTGTACCCCTAATTTCCTTTTCTACCATTTTTTTTGTTGTTTTTTTTTATCTTTTGTTTTTTTCTTGTTGTCTTTTGTTATTATTAAACAAATTAGAATTTACATTTTATTAATTATCTGATATGTTAACTCTTTCAACATGACGATTATTACATGGTCTATGTGGTGGAACGTAAGCATTCAATCGAGCGTGATACAATGTTTGTCATCCAGTAAAACATGTTGATTTGTGCATATTCCACAGCCAAGAAACATTAGCCATTGGATGACCCTCTTGTAAATCACCCTTAACATAATGGCAACCGTTAAAGAGGGTCATATTTATAATTGGATGATTTGGGAAATCTTGTGGACCAATCCAAAGTGAGAAAGATGTTGAAGATTCGTCTTTGCTTAAGAAATGAACAATAACACCATACTTATTAGCAATTAGAATACCAGTGTAAGACATAATCATCTAATAATTGCGGGTGTTCTATAGAAAGTCAACACTTTACTAATGGTATTTATGTCATTTTCAAAAACCATTCTTTAATCATGAATGTGCATCAATAACTCTTTGTATAAGTCCGTCCGAATTTGATGTCAATAGTCTTCACTAAAACCAAGAGCAACAACTACTGTCTGAAATCCACAGTGTTCATCTCCTTCACATTTTTATGTGTGACATGTATGGTTGAAATTCACTTGAAATTTCATTCATAAGTGTATGGTCGAAGTAGGATCTTTCAATTGTTGTAGAAATATTGATTTAGACAAAGATATAAGATATGAAATTTTCGAATAAATTCAATCGATCGATCGTATTATATATACGTAATAATAGAAGAAAACAAAACATCAAATCAATCTATTTATTATTATAGTTAAAGTTAAAAAGACATCAAATCAAATCAATTATTTAATAATAATAATAATAATAATAATAATAAACAAAACAAAAAAAAAAAAGACAACCAAAAAAAACAAAAAAGACGATATTTTAAATCAAAATGGGTTTAAAGACAATAAAATGAAAAAAAAAGAAGGATACGTGGAGAAATTTCATGAATTAGAGGGTATACAACGACACCTTGTAATAAAACCTATAAAATTCAAGAATTTTTTGTATTTTACCCCCTGTAAGTTTGCAAAATAAAAAAAAATTAATCAAATTACAAAACAAAACACCAATCACCTTTAGAAATTAGGAGCATTTTTTTAGAGTAAATGAAGTACAAAAAAATGCATAGTGCCAATGTATTTTTTACCCAATAATAACAGTATTTATATAATTTACCAATAATAAAAATAATTATTATTGCATTATTTACTTTACTACTTAACCGTAATACACTTTTTTTACATATAAAAACAACACCACAGCACACTTGTATATCCCTACTCATTATAACATACTCACATTCTCTTCAACAATAACGACATTCACATTAAACTCTAAGCAGTTTACATTTCAAGTTAAGAGTATTACCTGTAAAAACAAGTATAAATTCTCTGCTATTATAAACAAAAGTTATTGATGAGCTATACCCATATTGATAACAAAACCAAAATACATCAATATACCTCACAATTCAACATTAACTTTTGTGACAGAAGAGAATCTTTTAGGACTATTTTCAAAGAGAGCATTCACGTCTTTTCAACAATTTTCCACAAACAAGAGATCTAAAGCAACCACCTTTTTAGGAGGGACAAAATATTACAATTTTTGGACCCATTGATAATTTTTTTTTTTTTGTCAAACCGCATTTTCTAGTGTCCGATAATTGACCCTACATGATTCTAGTTTCACGAGTATACACATCTCTATCATTAGTAAAAAAAAAAAAAAAAAAAAAAAAAAAAAACATGACAGTAAATAAAACGAAACTAAACTTTGAACAAAACACCATAAACAAGTTTGCGAGTTCTTCTAGAAGAGCAGATTATCCTATTATCTTCAACTCAAAACTGGAGCATAGAGAATATCTGGAAAATAGCAATTTTCAAAAACTTTTAGCATCATCAACTAACTACATTTGTATCATAAAAAGATATATATGAATAACTCCATATTCACCTGTGAATGTGATTAATGAACTTGTGACTCAAGAAGAATATTTGTAGCAGCATTGATGTCGTTTCTGGCATGAACAAGGGCTTGTCTGGCTGAATTCCTATCAAATCCCATGGAAACCAATGTCTCAATTGAATCCTCTGGTGGCTCAGGGGTAGATGATATCGGGGCACGATAATTACCCTGAAAATTAAGCATCATAATCACAACTTCATCATTTAGTTCTAAAACACTTTCTAAGGCACATTTTATCGAACAGATAGAGTGCAAAAATGGAAACTGACATAAATTTTCCAATTACCTCAACTTGACGAGCTGCAAAGGATGGTCCATTTCTAGGTGGTGGAGCAGGTGATGCACTCCCCACAGATGGCAAAGAAAGCCTTGAGAAAAAGGAGGCTATCAACTCTGGGAACTGAAATTATCAAAACCACAAGAATCATTGTAAAATAAATTATTACTCTTCTTTTTTTATGTTTTCTCTTTCAAGATTAACAAAAGTAATAACCTTAAGCCTGCGGATGCGTAGTACATTTAAACGATATAAAGTGCCAGCAAGGATGCCACATAGACCTGGAACTAGGGATCTTTTCCAAGATGATAGTAGAAGCTGCATCATTTAAAATAAGTATAATGAAGATAATATTTTCAATAGCCTGTAAGTTAAAAAAGCTTATATTATATTATAATTATTACTACCTGAAGACCAGCTAAATAAATGAAAGATTTGTCTGAGAAACTTAGAGCATTCACACGAAACCGTGTTGAAACAGGAATGTCAAAATAGAATGGAACAAAGGAAGAGAATATAAGGCCATAGGGTCCAGATGTAAGCACACTCAAAGTTGGATCTGCATAAAGTAAGTCAAAAGTGCAAGGTAGGATACCAAAAGAAACTCTTGTAGTAATCATAAAATGAAGCACACTAAGTAGCTTACCATTAAGAAATGCTTGGCCAAAACGCTGTAGCAGTGAAGACACAATTATAGAAAAGGAGACAAACACCTGCAGACAGAGATTTGGTCGTTACAGTGGAATAAAATTCAAGCATGTTAATTAATGGGTTGAGAAAATACTCACAGCATATTTGTTAGAACCAATTTGTCTCTCAAACACACGAAAGTAGTATAGAAGATAAGCACCAAACATGAGCTCTGGTGTAGATGAAAATGTAAAAGTTGAAACAATCAGTTTCCATAACTGAAGCTTCTTCCAGATATCCTGTCATGGGAAAAAAAAAACAAATATAGATCAACAATTAGCTCTAAAGGTTTATTTAATTATGAGGTTCCAGCACTCCAAACTGTTTATGTGGGAGAGCAATCTTTCCTTACAATTTCTCAACTTCAAATTTTTCATCATTCTATGTCATAATGTCATGTCAGATTAGGGATTACTATCATCTATTCCCCAAGTTGATCTATGTTAGGAGATACAACTATGATTATATGTTAGAATCAGGGTTTTGCTAGTTTTTCTGTATGTATCCACCAAAATGCCCATCTTGTGCGGCAAGTATTTCAGGGAAGAAGGAAGAAGTAGAACTGAAATCATAAATTTGGACAAAGGGTGATCAGTATAGTCGATCACAAAATACTCCTAAGTCCCTTAGAACTGTAAATTGATACTGGTACATTTAAGCATTAAGAACAAAAAGAATCCACACCTGATAAGATAATCCGAGCTTGTTTGAACGACCTTGGATCCCAAACACGATCGTGAACACACAACACGCAATGACAAAGGTTCTAGTGATCGGAGCATTATCTGATCAATCAGCAAAAGAATTATAAACAACCGATTCAAATTAGCAATAAGAAAGGGAATTTCAAAGAAATTGGTAGAAAATACATACTGAAACCAGATGGGCCGCCGTTCATCTTCCTTTAAAGTGAACCAACGACCGTCAATCTTGAGAGGGCCTTTTATCGATTCAAATCTTTGTTCTACTATACCGATCTACGATGACGACTATAGTTTACTGGCAATTTTTCGGAGGGATTGTAACGAGTAGAATTTGGTAGGTTAGGGTTTCACTTGTGTCACAAGCTAGCAATGTTTGGTAGGGGATTACTCTGGTCAAAAAGGATTTTGTTGCTTCTAAAATCATTATAAATAATTATGACATCTATATTTTTGAGTTGAGATAACTAAAATATCAAAAATGAATTACGGGAAAAATGATAAGTGATCACCATTTTAAAAAAAATAGTCATACTAATCTTAGCAAAGTCGATTTTCATGTATGATTGATTTGTAAAATATATTGGTTAAATGTGACCTGAGAATTGCCAACATCAAATGGATATTGATTTGATGAAAAAAAAAAAAAAAAAAAAAAACTCATCATCCAATATCTACATGATAAGTGTTTAGAGTAGATTGATGATCGTTCACCCAAAAATGTTTAAATATGCAATTATCCTCGTACTCTATGGAATATAAACATAAGTCACATTGATCGAACCATGTTAAATATATCTAAATATTATTAGTACTCTATGGAATATGAACATAAGTCACATTGATCGAACCACGTTAAATATATCTAAATATTATTAAAATAGAACCATTAATTCACCAATGAAGCAATCAGGATCTTTGATTGTATTTTAATCCTATGTTTTTCACCCTTAAATTAAATTGCTGACATCATCTTCTCCAAATAAAATTCAAACATTATATAATTATAAAATCTTTAAATTCAATAATTATATTATCAATTGAATCATATCATTCTATTTATATATGAGATATAAATAAAACTCAATTTCCAAAGATGCGTTCATCTATTTACTCTGCATTTAAAAACCAGAAAATTACGGATTTCAAATTTGCAAACTTGAATTATTTAAAACACAAAAATCTTTAATATCTTCCAATCAGTTAACTTACATCCGTATTTTTTACAATATACCATTAAAATCATTTAACCAAAATATTTACTTTCTATATCCAATCCAATTTCAATAACAATCAAAACGAGAAATCATGGATTATATTTCAAGATATTTTTACGGTTAAATATATATATATATATATATATATATATATATATATATATATATATATATATATATACACACACACACACACGTGAATCCATATTTTTGAAATTCGTTATTCATCTTCTTCCTGTTTCGATTGCATCTAATAAAGCCTCATTCGTATTTTTTGAACTCCATCTGCTTCATAAAGTTCAACACACCAGGTGTGTTTGTTTAATTATCTTATATGTTCTTTTTGTTCGTATTTCTCTCTTCTGGAAAATCATCATTTATCGATTGTTTAGTTTAGCAGTTTAAATATTGATATTTGATTAAGCTATGTTTTGTGTTTGTTTATTTGCAACAATCAGTTATTATGGGTTTTAATAAAAATAATTGTTTCATTAACATGATCATACGCATAATTTTTTTTATAAACATGTGTTAACAATGTAATATATAACAATGTATTTATTTATTAACATTACCGAATCTGCATAATCAATTAAGCAATATACTTTCAACTACGACGATGTACTTTTCATACTTTTCAAACTATCTTATACTTTCATTAATGTTATAATAAACTATCCTGATATTACATAATACGTTTTTGGTTCCTAATGTTGTATATTTTTTCATGAGTCTGGTCATTTTGCTCTAAAAAAGGCAATGTACTTTTGATTTATAACAGAAAGTCTTTTTTATCAATTATAACATCATACTTTACTGTAGTCAAAACGACCAAACTCATCATACTTTACTGTCAAGTTTACCGTTTTGCCCCTGACAACTGTCAAGTTGACAGTTTTACCTTAATGTTAAATGGTTTTATTTTTTGTTTATAGTTCTTAAAAGAATAATGTTATTTCATGTTTTATAAATCTAAGTGTGTACGTTGTTTTCACTAAAAAATAGTGACAAATAGGTTTTGTAAAAGTTTTAGCAAATGAACAAACACAAGACATGGACTAAGATGAAACATTAGTTGTTTTCATAAATCTTTAAAATTTTGGTATTTGTTATCTTTTCTAGCTAATTTTTTTAAGGCATAACTTCTTAAAGTATTAAAAACATATTGAAATATATGTTATGGGATTGGGGGATCCAACATTGATTTGAAGTAACCAAACACAAAGCATAGCAGGGGCTAAAATGATACAGTGACAGTTTTTAAAAAATATTTACAGTTTTTGGTCCTTGTTATGTTTGGTAACCCAAATTTTACAAGTAGTAATTTCTAAAAGTACTATAACTTTATTGAAAATGGATACCAGGAAAGTTTTAGAAAGTGTCAAAAGTGATCAAAGACAATGTAACGTCTCGAAAATCCAAGGTAAATTTTTCATTTTTAAAACAATAATTCATACAATAATTTGTTCTCAAAACCATTCAAGATGAAAATAGTATTTAAAAATCAGAGTAAAAATCATCAATATGGAATAAACTCTGGGGGATGCTATACAGTCACGCCAGGCCCTTTCCTTCCGAACCGGAAGTACCTGAAACCATAAAACATAAACTATAAGCACAAAACTTAGTGAGTTCCCCAAAATACCTCATATCATACATACATAACAATTCAAAACATAACTAGGTATATTTCACCCCCCTTCAGTCTCTTTCAACCGGTATTGGGTCTATTTCACCCCCCTTCGGTCTCTTTCAACCGCTATTGGGTCTATTTCACCCCCCTTCGGTCTCTTTCAACCGGTATCGAGTCTATTTCACCCCTACAGCTAAGCATACAATCATATCAGCAAGAGTCACAAAGACAACAAGCACATACAGGCATAACACTAAGTGTCACAAAGACAACTATCATCATACAAACATAATCCAGTGGGTTGCCATTGTTGTCTTCGACCCACGAGTACAGTGAAGAGACTCACCTCAGTCTGAAGATAGACAAACCACACTCCCGGGCTGTTGCTACTATGGCTCCTTACATTGAACATTCCAAATTAACCTTAATCAATACTTAGGGTAATAACCCATGAATGGTCCAGATTACCCTCTTACATTCCAATGGGTAAAAGACCATTTTACCCCTTCCTCTAATGGGCCCCTCAATCCATGGCCAAAGTCCAAAAGTCCTAAGGCCCAAAATGGCGCAAAACCTCCAAAATGGTCCCTGGTAAGTACGCCCAACCAGATTCATAGCACGTTCCATGTCTCTTAGCTGCGGAAGTGCTTAGTGGATGATTCTGCAGTGGTATCGTTGGAGGATATTCAGGTGGATGACCGCCTGAACTATATTGAGAGACTGGTGGCGATCCTTGAACGGAAGACAAAAACCTTGAGTAACAAGGTTGTTGAGTTGGTGAAGGTGCAATGACAACATCGCAAGGGTTTGAAGTGGACTTGGGAGCCGGATAATGGGATGAGGGATCATTACCCGAAATTATTCGGAGCAGCGGACTTCGAGGACGAAGTCTGATTCAAGTGGGGGAGAATTGTAACACTTGAATTGGGTATGTTTCATTTTAGCCCTTCGTATTTAAAATATTACATTTTTGGTCCTTGTGGCTAGTACGCGGGGCGTACCATAGTGTACGCTTAGCGTACTAGCGAGGGTGTGATCGCGGGTTCGAGCCTCATACGTTGGCGTACGAGGGTTACATTGGGCGTAATCTGGCCAACTTGAAACCCTAGTTTTTAGGGTTTAACCCCTATATAAGCTCATTAAGTCTCATGAGCTTGGTGTCTTACCAGTCTCCATATGCCCTAAACCCTAATTTTTTTATCCTTAGCCATCATTTTATGTCTTTGAGCTCTTGAGAAGAAAAGTTGGTGTTTTATTACTCATTTTGAAGATATAGAAGAAGATTGAAGGTTCATTGCTTGGTGTGAAGCTTAGAGATCCAGAATCATCCTTCCTTTTGCAAGTCATTTGAGGTATAAAGATCTTATCTTGACAACTCCTTGTATGGATCTTCTTTTGGATTTGTTTATGGTCATTTTAGTCCCTTTCGGTTGGTTCTTGTGAGCTAGGGTCGGTTCATAAGTCTAAACTTGTAGATCTGGGCATTTGGGGGTCCCCTTGTTCTTAAAAATGCAAGCTTGGAGGTTTTTATGGACTCATGCATGTGTTAAAACCATTTGTTAAGTTATTTTGAGCTCTAAAGCCCCATTAATCCATACATGTACATAAAGTTGGCAACCTTATGTGATAAACGACCTTAGAGAAGTCAGATCTAGGTTTTGAGTCGAAGTCTTAACCAAATACGTGCTGAATAAGGAAGGTTGGCAAAGCTGAGGAGTATGATAGGCGCACAAGCTGGTACGACGCGCATACATGCCTCCATGCGAGTACGCTTAGCGTACGAGCTGAGTACGCCCCGCATACTCAGCAGTTGGGCTTAGGAAGGTTTGGGCTCACGGTGTTGGGCCATGATTGGACTATGGATGATTAGGGTCTTGTTGGGGCATCATAATGCTATTTTGGGCTAAAAAGGTTTGTTGGATCTTGGTTGAAGGCCCATAAAAGGGTTTTGGTATCACAACTGGAAATTTCAAGTCCAAAAACCAAGCCAAAGGAGTCTCGTATATGTAATAGTTATAACTATACTATTATTGTGTTTTGGTAATGTAATCTTTGATAATTATACTACCCTAAAGTCTCCTAAGTCAATGCAAACAATAAGAAATTTAAGTTACGTCAAGATGTTGATCATATCAACATAAAACCAATACATTAAAGTTCATGTGCATTCTTGACCATGAACACTTCCCTAGGAAGCACCCAAGGCTGTAAACCCTACATATGGGCCATGGTTGGCCATGAACAACTTCCAAGAGGCCACTTTGGCCGTAAACCACCTCAAACCACCAAGCCTTGACCGTGAACCACCCTAAGCATCAAAGCCTTGACCGTGAACACCATTCTAGGCCACTTTTAGGTTGTGAACACCATAAGGGACCCCCATTAGGCCGTAAACCACCTTGGTGGACCCACATTAGACCATAAACCTTAGTTTAAGGTCCATTTAGACCGTGAACCCCTTCCTAATTCAAGGGTGTTTACGGATTGTGAGTTGTTAATTAGCTATTTCCAATACAAATCTCAGTAACCTATGTATTACCCAACAGTAAACCAAGCAAACATCTTATCAATTTCCT